TATATATATATTCAGGGATAACTTTTTTTTTCAGGGATAATTATATAATTTTTTAAATTTATTTATTTATTTATTTTTGGAGAGGTTTTTGCTATAGGGCGCGTGCGTTTGCCAGAAAGACAGAGAGAGATCAAGAGACAGAAAGTGAGAAATCACCCCCCAGGGAGAGTGGCCACACCGCAATCTTTTCTCCTCCATTCTCCTCTCGGGATCTTGGACACACACATCATGCACCTGGTATGAGTTTAAGCCACTGAGTCCAGGACTCAAACTGCAGTCGACTACATGGGAGTCCAGCAACATAGCATTACGCTAACTACTGGTCCCATATATTTTTTTTTTTAATTCATCTCACATCCTTCATATCGAGGTCAGAGGAGCCCTTGACAGGGTCTCATCATGAATGGTCACTCAGGTTGGCCCAGGATCAAAACCCTGGCCTTCTCTGTGGCTTCCAGCATCACAGAGCACTGCCTTGCCATCTGCACTGCCGTGCAGGGCCACACCCCCAGATATGTAGCCACCTACCTGGCCTCCCCTCTTCATGAAGGTTGACTTTTTCAGGGCATTCTCATTCAGGATAGCCTCTTCTGAAATCTCTGGACATCTGTATTTGCATATTTCTTAATTAAGCTTCTAATGGTTTTGTTTTCCCCAAAAGTTTTAGGGGAAGCTTTTTTTTAAGATGGGAAAAAAACATGTATTATGCCCCTTTTCAAATGGAGAAACTTAGCCCCAGGGGCAGCTTGCTTGGTTTCTTCTAGCTCCAGAGTAGCCCAGTGGGGATGGCCCAGGAGTGCCTGGAAGGCAGACATTGTGAGCATCCAGGCAAGAGAGCACTCTGTGTCGGGTGCTGGGGACACCATGGTGAGCAAGAGCAGATGGGTCCTCCTGCCAGCACATGGGAACCAGTAGTTACCCTCTGGGGTGGTGACTGCCGACATGGGCAGTGCAGAAGCTGCAGGAACAGCTGGCCTCATCTCGAGAGGTCAGAAGAGACCTTCTGTAGGAAGCAAGTCTGAGCTGAGGTTGGGGCCCTGGTGTGGTCAGTGAACAGCAGAGGCTGTGTTGCAGGCCACGGGCACCGACAGATCAAGGCGCAGTGGTAGCAGAACACATGCTTCCCCTTCTCTCTGGATCCTGCTTAGCAAGGGAGGTAGAGGTGCCCGCAGGGGTCTGGTGTTGTGGCCTTTAACCTCCAAGTCTCACCAGGTCTTTTCCTTTCAGAGCATATGACAATGTCCTCAAGGATGCTGTTGCGGTCAAGAGCCAGGCCTTAGCGATGGTACCCGGCACGCCCCCGACCCCCACCCAAGTGCTGTTCCAGCCGCCTGCCTACCCTGCGCTCAGCCCGCCCACCACCCTGGCCCAGTTCCAGGCCCCCGTGCAGGACCTGTGCTTGGCCTATCGGGACTCACTGCAGGCCCACCATCCAGGGAGCCTGCTCTCCGGCGGCACTGGCTCATCTCTGCATACCCCCTACCCGACCCTGCAGCCCTTGGATGTGTGTCCCATGCCCGTCCCTGCGTCCCTCAGCATGCAGGTGGCCATTGCAGCTGAGCCCAGGCACTGCCTGGCCACCACCTATGGAAGCAGCTACTTCAGTGGGAGCCACTTGTTCCCCACAGGCTGTTTTGACAGATAGGCCACCTCTGGGCCACCAGAGCAGAGGCAGAAGACACTGAAGAGAAGGCCCGGCCCAGTGAGGCAGCTAGGAGGCTGTCTTAAAGAGCCTCATTGCCCTCGAACGTGGAGGCTTTGTGCACTCTTAGATAAAACTGGCCCAGAGCCAAACAGTCAATGGCAGACCTCCCTGAGAGCACTCCTCTCCATCAGCGTTTTCCACGGTGGCTGGACTGTGAGGGATGCCTCGGTGACATCCTCTCAGGCAGGGCTCAGTGAATTAAGGGCGACTTTTAAGAGGCCAGAAGATGGGGACCTGGACGCAGGCCACGAGTCCAAAGCACGTCCAGTTGTTAGCGTTACAGACATACTCTTTGCCCGGGGCAGCTACCGCTGAGAAGGGGCAGCCTGGTATGTCCCAGGACCCCTGGAAGACACAGGTGCGCTTCTCTCCCTGGCTCCATCCAGAGGGAGAGGAACCCGTGTGTGTTGATGTCTGAGCTTCTGCCTCACAAGGCAGCGGGTGGCTGTCTTGCCTTGTCAAACCTAAAACGTTTTTCGGCCTTTTAGATATTTCACGTGCTGCTGTTTCCTAAAGCAATAGAGCTTTCTGTTCAGTAAGATGTCTTGTTTACATACTGTATCAGGGACTTTGTGATACTTGAAAATTCCTTAGGAGAAAAAAAAAAAAAAGCAATTGCCACACTGCCTGACCACGGGAGGGCTGTAAGTGTCAACCCATCTGGTGACAGAGATCCCTTTTCAAAAGCATATGGTGGGAAGAACCACTTTCCAGGCCTTCAGTTCCAGAAGATTCCACGTCTTGGAAGCCGTGTTCACCTGCAGAATTTCAACGACCACCCAGGGCAGAAGTGTTTGTCGCAAGAAAGACAAAGGATTGAAATGAGCGCCTTCACCTCCCTCACCGTGTGCTTCCAGTGTGAGGTTAATCCAGCCTCAGCTCTGAGCATGGCAAGGAGTGGAGAAGATGGCGTGGAGTCTCTGCTCACCACGGCCAAATGTTGGGGGTGGGGATGGACGTGGGGACGTGACCCCACCACTGACAGGCCAGCGATTGGTTGGCTCGAAAGCCAGTGTCTGGGCATCTGCAGCGAGAGCTCTCAGGAAGACTCGGAACCAAGTGCAATATGTTCTTACTCGCCGCGCAGCTCGTGCGTGGCCTGATCTGGTTGATCCGGGGTTGGGGACCCCGTTCACACATCCGAACTGGGAGGTGCCCAGGACCACAGAAGCGATTTTTGTTTGTTTGTTTTTAAACACCCCTCTTGGTTGTCTTGGCTCATTTGCCAGTTCAGGAGGCGGCGAGGGACCGCCAGGAAGACAGCCATGAGGTGCCGTGCTGGACCTGAAGGTGTAAATAAAGGCGGCTGCCTCCGTGGGGAGACAGTAAGAACAGGGACTGGACGCGACGAGGCGCAGCCACTTTGTCACGGTAGCATAGGAAACTACACGTGCGTTGGGTTTTTCTTTTTCCTTTGCCAACCTCCTCCTATTTATATGCGACTGGTTTGGAGTCCAGGTTTTTGTATGTGCCTGTTCTAGAGCTGAGGGGGTTGCGAGGTAGTTCCTCCACACCCTGGGGCCTCGCAGCCAACCTGGCTACTGGAAAAAGGCCTCTCACAATAAATGCATCACCTGCGCTTGGCGTCTCAGTTCTCTCCCTGGGCTTTCCCTCTCAGGCCACCCCCTCCTTCCCCCAAATTAGCCCCTGGGTGCCGCCGCATGACAGGTGGGGGCGGGGGGGG